CCACATGAAGTTAATGTTAAATTCATTTTTTCGATTAAATCAATACAAGATTGGAAAGCGAAACATGTACGACTTTTTATCTTGAATTTAGGTCTTCCAATAATGACTCAATATTTGTCAATTTCTTATTCATCACACTTTTCTATCTATTGTCTATTTATCAAAATACTACATTGTTCTAAATCATTAGAAGAAATTCAACTAGCTGACAAACTAATTCACTACTATTGTAAAACGTCATCAAGTATTTACGACAAAAAAATAGAACTATATTCTTTACATGCTCATCTTCGCTTGCCTGCACAAGTAAGGAATAAGTTATAATATTATCATCGTAATTTTTCGGATTATTTAGAAACAATTATGAGCAATAATCCTTTGATTTCTTGTTCTAGATCATGGAGGACTAGCTTTCACATCATCATTCTGTTTCGAATCAATGATCAATCATCTTTAAAAAAAAGCATTTGGAACAAAAAATCTGGGATCACAAATGATGTATTGGTGTGATATTGATTCTATGATAGCTACAACAGAATATAAATTACCATTACCATCATTAGTAAATGAAATTAAATTTGATAGTTATTTATTCATTACATATCACGATTTATTTAAAAAACAATTAGCTGATTTACAACAAGACCTGAACAAGATAAAGTTATATCTACGTTTTAAAGATAATTTTTCAACATATCATTCGTTTTTATACAGCAAACGTTTTTCTTGTGCAAGTTACTTAGCGTCTTATACTGATAACAATGAACGAATCGAGTACGCCAAAATTATTGTTTTTTATTTGTATGAAAATGTTTGGTATTCATTTATACAACAGTATCAACGTGCTGCTATCAAATTATCTGATTATCTTGATATTCCAGATGAATTGAAAGAAACTGTGGATCTATTTTATTCTATTTGTATTCTCAGTGACGATTTTGTTGCTATTCCTGTTAGTAAAATAATTTCTAAGTGTATATCAGTTCAATTTCAAAATTATGAGTGTATCAGTGAACGACGCCTGAATTATGAACATGATTAAATAAATATTCAATCATATAATCTTAAATCTTTTTTAATACAGCTTTGCTTTCAAATGAAAAAGATCTTTTCTTTCTATTCCTCAATTTACAAAAACCAGGCTTCATATATGTACAACATTAAGATAAATTTTTTTTTAAATTTTAGATGTTGTCGAAAACGAATGCTTATCGACGACCTTATCGTTCACAACGCTCCGCACAAGAAGAAAAAAAGTTTTGTTGTATTGTCTACATCGATGAACCATCCAAATACAGCATTGTTGAATCAAAACGATTGATTGATATCGATGAGCATGGATACGGTACTATCAAAGAGCTTGGTAAAAGTTATGATGTTCATGTTGAACAAACAGGTATTTTTCTACCCATCGCATTGAAATAAGTCTTAGATTGCTTTTTATTTATTTAGGTACGCAAGAATCAATGGAACGATATGGTTATTTGTTAGAGAAAGCCCTACAATCGC